TGAGCTACATTCCTAACTCTGAATCTCTAATATGTATATTTAAGTTAGGTATTTTATACTTTTAGAGAGTACTTAACAAAGTTTATAAAACATGTATACACTGAAAATATAATTAATCAAAATTTTTAAGTTTTAAGAAGTATAGAAATGCCTTTAGAATAACAGCTTCAAGAAATCACTAAAATGTTAATTAAATATGACAAGAGATTGAAATAAAACTCTCTGATGGCAAAGAGTTTTTCACTGAAGAGACAAAAAGATAGTTGGGAATGAAAGAGAGTGAATGCTATAGAACTAGTCATACAAAAACACTGAAAACAAATAATCAACAAGTAGCTATCAATGTGGGAGTATGTAACATAGTATGGTACTAACAACTGTGAATCTTTCATCCCCGACAACTCTAAACTGTCCTCTTAAAGAGACTGATTGGACTCAAAAATGCATCTAAACATAATGGGAATGCCACATTACAAAAAAACCACAGTTAATAGCACAAATATGTTAACATAATAAAATATGTTAATAGTACATGAGAAATACTAAGATCTGTTAGTGTAACACATGTTATGCCAGGTAGAACCAATCACACTAAAAATAGAATGCTAAAAACTCACTCACTATCTTCTGTGGGAAGAACTTGTAGGGAGTAAATCCATTCTATTATATCATCTTTGTTCACCACATCTAAGGAGTCCAACATATCTAGCCCGGAGAGTGCAAAAAATGCAATTGTCAACCTAAAAGAAAAAAAATGTAACACTCACCTTAAATGTCAAACCACTGAATTCCTTCACTTTTACAATAATTTAAACAAACCCCCACCTTGTCCAAGCCAACCCCCCACAATTCCTCAAATGTAAAAATATCAGTGAATCCTCTTTTAATTTTTTAGAAAGGAACATTCAGGGGCTAAGAAACCAATCCTATTCAACTGAAGCACTCATGAATCCACTGAAGCTAGAATCACTATGATCTGAAAAACAGAATTACAAATAAGCCAAAAGGCTAGAAAATACAGTCTGCAAATAAATAAATAAAAAAAAAATGTATATACACTTCAGCAGTTCACCCTACTAATAAATGTCTGTAAGCTAATGGCCACCACTCTGAGCACCTCTTGTAATTGTAGAGGCCAAAGGTAATGTGAATTAATCTCATGATGCCTCAATAAATTTAGTATTAAAATATTTATACAAATTTTTCCTGATGTACACATTTTTTGGCAGACTCTATATAAAAATATGTATCAGTTTCACTGATTTGATGCTTATGGTTTATACTTACTTCTTAAGGAAAGTTAGAATCAATTTATCTTTATTCAAATTTGTTTACAAATAATGTTATTCCTTGGGAAAAACTTCTAATGAATTTTGGAAAATAAGGAATACATAGAAAAATAAACACAACTGAATTTCAACTCCATTTTCCCTGAGCGGAGCAGCACTCTTTGATCCATTAAAAAATTGTAAGGCAAACTGTAAGGAGGCACCCACCCCCTCCAAGATTTTGTACTAAGTAAAAATTCTAAACCTGTGTCTTTGTACAAAAAATCACCTTAGCAGCTGTGCTTAAAATAGTTTCTTAAAAATAATTGCTTTTATATTGAGATACATTCTATAATGTATAATGTTCATAGTTTAATAAATTTCTTATGAGCAATAGTAATAAATAGTTCAAATTATCTGGTCTACAGTCTTAGAGCAGAGCTACTTGCTCTATGCTATAGTCTTTTTTTTTTTTTTTCCTGGTACTGGGGATCGAACTCAGGACCTTGAGCCTGTCAGGCAGGCGCAGCGCCACTGAGCTACATTCCCAACCCCATATGCTATAATCTACAAGAAAGTCCCAAGAGAAAATTAAGTTTTAATGCCCTAAGCCTTAGGGCCAAAGGCATCCATTGTATGTAATAAATGATGCATCCAGGATACAAGTATCTAGATTGATATTATTAATTTTAGGAAAAATGGGAAAAGTCATTTTTTTTAAAAGACATAATTCTCTGATGCTTGGTGGAAAAAGGCTGGCATTCACTAGATAACAGAAGGAAAAACATCACATAGTAATTCAATTCCAACCAAACTTCTACTGCAAAAACCAAAACTAAGGAGATAATTGATATGCTTAAGAATAGTAAATATTTGGGGACACAGTATTGAGAGACTATAACCATGTTTTGGAAACTGAGGTAAGAATCTGCTCATAGATGATCTCAATTTAATTCTAACAACCCACTGAGATCCACCTAATAAGGGAGGTGATTTATATCTGGATTAAATTAAGGACAGTAGAATCTCTCCATGTGACAATGCTACACAGCAATTCGGCAATTCAGAACTTAGACTTTGCAGTCGAATATGCTATGTTCAAATTCTGCTTTGGACAACTTTTAGCACATGACTCACCAGATACTTGACCTTTTCTAAGTCTTAGCTTCCAATAGTGATGTAAAATCATTATTACACATCATATAGTTACTGTGCTTAACTGCTCCCAACATAAATAAAGCCATTATTATTGGTGTTTGACCTGTTTTGGAAGGACGTAACAAGGACTTCAGAATTTAATCACATTGTCTAACACTCATAAGCACTTAAGAATTTAATCACACTGTGTAACCAAGGCCCTTTTTCTAGATCCTTCGTTGGCAGATATGATGGTTAAGCTTGTCAACTTGTTTGGTTTGGGAGTTGTCTAGGCCATTTGTAAAGCACACTTCTGAATGTGTCTGCATGGGTCATAGGAGAGTGAACTTA